AACACCCCTTTGGGACATCTCCTGTATGAATACCCTGCAGCTGGAGAAACGGTCTCTTACGGACTTCTCTCCTGTTGGAAAGAACAATGCTCAGCGTTGCTCTTGGATGTGTGTGTCAAGAGCAAGGGAAAAAGAGGCTGCTGTCACATTTCCTGTTCTTGCCAGGCTCTTTCCCAGTCGTGGGAGGAAAGGAGAAAACCTCATCCCTGGTCCTGAAGGCTTCTTCCTCATCCCCATTGTAAGAGAACATCAAATTATCATATCAGTTCCTCTTTCTTTTGTTTCTGGGCATACGCATGACGCTTTCCGAGCTCGCAGCCTGTCTCTTTAAATGCCAGCCGTGTGGGTTGCTGCTTTGAAGCCTCCTTCCCTCTTTTCAAAAGGGAGCAAAGTTCTCTGTAATTAAGTGGCTGGGGCTGAACCAGGGGGCCTGTCAAGCTTCCTACCCCAGCATCTGCCTATCCTGGCCCACCCAGCAGCTCCCAAGCTTCTGAGTAGACGCTGCCATCTTCTGGGAACCGAAAGGCAGAGAGACATTCCTTAAAGGAGGGACGGAATTTCCACAGCTATTGTTGCCGCCTTGTTGAAACGTAGCAATCATAGACCTATAGGGCTGGAAGAGATCTGGGGGGGAGGTCTTCCAATCCATCCTCTGCTGAAAGTAGGAGACCTTATTCCATCCTGGACAAATGAGATTGCTCTTCTTAAAAACCTCCAGTGATGAAGTATCCACAACTTCTGAAGACAAGCTGTTCCATCAATTAATTAGTTCTCACAGTCAGAAATTCCTCCTTAATTCCAGATTGGATCTCCCTCTGACAAGTTTCCATCCGTTGCTTCTTGACCAGGCAAATATCTGCAGATCAGAGCAGTCATTTACACAAGGGGAGGAGAACTTGCCTTCTTCTTGTATTTTGTCCCACTCAAAATGCCCACCATTTTTTTTTTGTCAACTTGATCAGCCTAGGCTGAAGAATTCTGCCTTCACCGTTCTCTTCTATTTCATGGCTGCCCAACTCCAGGCAAACTACCCTTCAAGAAGAAGAAAACAAAGATAGGAAGAGAGAGCATGTCCACCAAGAAGAAAAACTTGCATCTCAAGCAAAAAAGGAAAACAGTTTTCTCTCTTTTGGCTCAATTGTACAATAGTTGCTTGGGGGGGGGGTCTTCGCTCTGTTTGGAGAGGGTGTGGGGAGGGTGAGTGCATGCAGGTCTTTGCTTTGGTTCCAGCCCCTCCGTCTCCCCCTTCCAAAATCCTTGGGGGCTTCCTTCAGAATGCAATACAAGGCAGTTTTCTCCCCTTTTCAGTTGGGATAGTCCCAAGGAAAAGTCACCCATGAGATGGTCAACTAATTCCCTATTGGGGATAATAAAGGTAAAGCCGTAGGTTCCTTCCCTCTCTGTGGTTCAGGTCTGTAGTTCAGTCCTTTTTTTCCCCTCTCCCTTAGGTAAATCAGTCAGAAAGTTGCTCCAACCTCTTTGTGTTCCTCTGTGGCCTCCTTGGCCCTCTGCTGAAGACGTTGGAGAGAGCCATTGTCTTCCTTCAAGAGGTGGATTTCCCTCAGCCAGGTGGGCCTCACACCTGGGGTTCCTTTGGTTTGGGGGGCAGCCATAATTTCCCCCAGGAAAGTGGGTGGGGGCGGCATTTAGGGAAGGCTTTGAAGTGTGGGTCTGAACTTGACTTCTGAAGCTTTGAGTAGCTTTCTGCGTACCTGAAAGACAGGTAGCTCAACCGCAGGTGGGCACTGACAGCTGTTGGAAGGCCTTCGTGATAAGAGAACATCAAGAGGCTTCCTCTGGTCCAAGGTCTTGGTTGCCTCGGATCCACAGCCGGCCTTTTTTTTTGGAAAGGGGGATTAGTAAAACAGTTCCAAATTGGGTGAGAGACCGGCAAAGTCCTACTAGAGCGAGAGAATGGTGTCTTTCAAAAAGTCTTCTTCTGACATCTCTTCCTTCGCTGTCTGAAACTCTGGAGAATTATGAATGAATGATGAATCCATCCTACACTTTTTCTCACTCTGAGAACCTTTCCCCTGTAGAATCTCTCTTCCTGGAGGAGCTGCACCAGGCCTTGGCGAGACTGGCAAGAGAGGACGGTTCTTTTGGTGAGCCTGGAAGTGTAAAATTAGCGTGAGACAGCAACTAAGAAACTGAGGTCTGGATTAGGAAGGCCCCAATTCCAGTGAGAAATGTCTGCCGCTCTTAGTCTGTCACTTTTGATCCAGGGCTGGGCAGCCATGGCCCCCTTTACGAACTGTGGACTTCAACTCCCAGAATTCCTTGTCTGCAGGTAGTCTCTGACTTCCCATTGTAACTGAGCCTGGAAGGATGGCCGTAGGATCGCCAGTTGGGTAAGCAGCCAAATGGCAGTCACGTGACTGGGGGAAACAGCCGTCGTACGTATCTGTTTCGGGGTCTGTCGTAATTTCTCATGGTCATAAGTCATGCACTTACAGACAGTTCTCAACTTTCAACCATGCGTTTAGTGACTTTGAAGTTACAGTGACGTATGACCAGTTTTCAGACTTACGACCATTGCAGCCTCCCCGGGGTCACGGGATCAAAATTCAGTTGCTTGGCAACTGGCATGTATTTGTAATGGTTGCCCCATCCTGGAATCATCTGGCTGCCATTTGTAATCTTCCCAGCCAGCTTCCAACCACAAAGTCAATGGGGGAGGCCAGATTAACGCCCGCACAGTTCACTTAACAACGGCAATAATTCACCCAGCAGCTGTGGCAAAAAGATCGTAAAATGGAGCAACAGCCACTTGACAACCGCCTTGCTTAGCAACAGAAATTTTGGACTCAGCTGTGGTCCTAAATGGAGGATATTTTTTTATTTGACAATAGACATTGCCATCACAGGGCTAAGATCCGTTTTCCCTTTTAATGGTCCTGTGTGAACAATGGCCAGTCCCTCCCCAGTTCAGTAAAAATCAGATTTTGTGTAGAAAGAGGGCCAGAGATGGTTCAGGGTCCAAGTGGAATGACAGTTAAGAAGGTTGCTGAACTCGCTAATAAACATTTGTGCCTGGTGGTTCTGAATTTAACCTTGTCAAGGTGACAGCCGTCTATTGTTTTAGTTGGCCTTGTTGTAAGATAAGGAAAGGGAGTAACTTCTGACCAGGGTCCAGTACTAGGGTCAATGCTGGGATCAGCAGGGGAGGAATGTAAGCACAGGAATAGAAACGTCTCAGGATGGTTGACTCCCTTGGGGTCAACCTTATTCTTGATCTGGACTGAGTTCAGTAAAAGTTCTTTTAATACTGAGAATTCATTTGACAATTGGAATTGAAAATATATTCTGGCTGTTTTTAAAGGCCACAGTTTTTCACTGCTTGATGGAGTTCAGGGATGGAGGTTCTCCTTCAAAAGAAAAAGGAAAGACACTGGGGCATCGGGGAGAGGGGGTCCCAAAAGCTTTGTAGCTGCCATCTCCCCCCCCCCCCGCTTGCTTTTAAAAGAATAATATATCCTTATAATTTGTGTTTACACCGCTTTTTAAAAAAAAATCCAATGCTTCTCATGTTATCTATAATAATTCCCGTTAGATTGAAGAGAAGGAGTAGCTAGCCTAAAACAGCCATTCATAAAGCCATTTCTGGCTACCTCCTGTTTCTAATCCTGCAAATAATAATTTCCTGCAATTTCTTTTGCTTCTTTTTCAGAATGTGCCAACAAGGCCTTGACTGTCACTGCCATTCGCATCTGCAAAGAATTAGGGGTAAGAACTTAACTCACTCGAGATGTTCCAGATTGCAAAAACCTTTACAGCTAAGGTTCAGAAGCCAAGCATGGAGCTTTTCAGAAAGTAAATGGGTTTTTTTTCCTCTTAAGAGAAGAGCACTGGGAGAACAGAGTGATTAAGTTTCAGGATGAGGCATGCTTAAAGGGGAAGGCTGTTTAATTCCCTCCACCCACTGATATTTCATCAACAAGGACATCTCTCCAAGATCAAAGAGAGTTTTTTACTCCAGGACCATAATGACAGCTTCTTCATGCTTCTCGCTGCCCCCTTTGGTAGAGTATCTAGCTCTGCTTGATAAAGGAATTAAGATTGGTTGGAATTGTTCCTGCATCAATTCAGAATGTTAGTGGTCTAATCTTACATTCCTTATTCCATGCAGCCTGTTAGAAATAACAGTTTTTTCATTCATTCATTCATTTATATGTGTCGATCTGCCAGCCATCTGCTCTCTGGGAAAAGGGATTCTCTTTGATTTCTCTTCCAGGTGTTCAAGGAAGTGATGGAAGAAAAGAAACTTATTCTCCATCTATCTGAAACTTTCACTGCCCAAGAAAATCAAAAGAAACTGGAGAAATTCATCCATCAGTTTATCTACTAGATCCTTCGATAGGTCTTCCTTTAACAGGCAGAAGAATTCAGAAATCTGACTTAAGAGAGAGCTCTCCCCCACCCGTCCATTTGGACCGCTGTTTTGTTTGTGGTTCTTGTTTTGAAATGTTGTTTTCCAGGAAGAGGGAATTTTGAGTGCCAGCAATGAGGCCAGTTAGGTTAATAAAATCAATTAACACTGAAGCATGATGAGTGTGGACTGTAGCGGATTTGTATTAAAGACCATTACCAAAACCGCCATTTATGAAACAAGAAGCAACCAGCCAGAAGGAAGGCATTTTTTTAAACCATATTATCTGGGTAGAAAGATGGCTGAATTTGACTTATTGTTGATGCTTTCACCACTAGACCAAACAGCCTCTTTTAAAACAATTTAGATCCCAATCTCTGTCAAAAATCACTTTATTCTCAATCAACCATCTGGAGAACCTTGAAGTAATAAAGGAGATACGTGTACCAACATCAGTCCGTCATACAGTGCCACATTTCCATCTTGCTCTGGTGTAAATTTGCACGGGTCTCACTCAAGGACACCACTCACCCATTTTGCCTTTTTCAACTGAGATGCCCAGAAACTGCATGTGGCTTCTGCATTTTAGCTTCACTGCGATGTTTGGCAGAAATAATTCCGGAAGATGTAATCTTGAGCATTTTAAGAACTTCTTTATTTATGCTTGTGATTAGAATCCAGGAAGGCACTGGTGCATTCTAACCCCAGCCGATCGTTTTGTCGAGGGCCACCGCAGGAAAACCTTCACATCACTTTGTTGCAGATGGTTCCCAGCTCATCAATTTCACACTGTACTTCATCTCCTCTCTGTTGGGACAATAGGATTACAGTAGCCCTTTTCCTAAGCGAGATATCTAAGAACAGGTAAGATGCTCCCAGAAAGGAGCAAATTTCAAACTTCACCTGCCTCAAACGCTCTCTCCAAATGCGCTGAACTTCAGAACACGCAATTCAAACTCTGTCCAGTGTGTCTTAAAACACACAATTTAATACTATGCTAGAGTTTGTCCTGAAAATCAACCGCCTTTGGACTACATTTCCTGGTTAAGAACTGCCAATTCAGGGGTGCTGTCTGCCCTTCTAAAATAGGGCTGTGTCAATAGAGGCATTGCATGCAAGAGAGAGTAAAGCAAAAGATATTTCAGCTGAATTCCTCAGCGCATTTTCCAAAATGGTCTTTCACAGCCTGGAGTCCTGCAGTTGGGTTGACTTATAAAGTCTGCAGGACTTGATTGTGGAGATTGGAACGACAATTAATGTGCCATTTTGTGCTCAGAAAAGAGCAGTGGATTACTGGTGTTACAGGGGGCAAAAATGCAAGAAGGCTGGAAGTGATTATATGCAAAATGATCCCTCCCAAAAGGGCAGAAAAGCAGAATCTATAATGAACTAAGAACAGAAGTCACCTTGAGGAAAATGGGTGGCTTCCGGAAAAATCCCACCCCTGGTGGTGTCCCAGTCAGGAAGACATCTCCTGGGTACAATGTGACAAACCTGCAAACAACATTAAACACAGCAGAATAAGAGCAGCCTGATGAGAGCTAGTGACACACCTGGACAAGAGAGCTCCTAGAACATAAAACTATAGGGCTAGAAGGGACCTTGGAGGTCTTCTAGTCAAACCCCTCAAGATCTTATACCATTCTGATCAGCTGTGCAGTCTATTTTTGAAAACCTCCAGTGATGGGAGCACCCACAATGTCTGGAAGCACGCCTTTCCACTGATCAATTGTTCTCACTTCTCCTTAGTTCCAGACTGGATCTCTCTTTAATACCCATTGCTTCTTGACCTACCCTCAAGTGCTCTGGAGAATAGGTCAAGCCCTCTTCTTTGTCACAGCCCCTCAAATATTGGAAGACTGTTATCGTTTCGGCCCTAGTCCCTTTTTTTTTTTTTTTTTTAAGACTGGATATGCCTGGCTTCCACAACCATTCATCATATGGTTTAAGCTCCAGTCCTTTAATCATCTTTGTTGTTCTCTGCGCTCCTTCTAGAGTCTCAGCATGATTTTTGTATCACAGGAACCAGAACTGGATGCAGTATTCTAAGCCTGGCATCCCCAGGGCAGCACTCACTGAGACACCCATGCGACAAGAGTCTCCGTTTTGAAGATCATCTGGTTGGTGCTGCCGTTTTGGACGAGTTCGCCGTTCACTCGGCAGCGGATGCCCAAATTGTGAGGGTCTGTGTGGAAAGGAGAGAGAGTAGCGCCATAAGATTAAAAAGAAGCTGTTTGCTTGCTTTAGAGCAGGGGTCTTCAAACTTGGCATCGTTTAAGACTTGTGGACTTCAACTCTCAGAATTCCCGAGCCAGCCATGGAAGTTGAAGTCCATAAGTCTTAAATGTGCAAAGTCTGGAGACACACACACACACACACACGCACACTCCGGCTTTAGAGGAAATGCAGCCCCACCACTTATCTTCTGCTCTGGTTTGCAAAGCAAGGAGACCTTCAGGAAAGGTCATGCATTCAAGAAAGTCAGAAGAGGGACTTGCAGCTTCCAAACCTGACACGGAGTCCTTGGTCACAAGAGCTGGGCCCAGCGGGCAAAAGGTGTCAAAGGTCTTCCCTAGCAGCCATTGCTTCCCGTTCCTCATCTGCCAGTCTCGGGCACTCACGTCGTGCGCCACCATGAAACCAGCCACGTGAGCTATTGCATCAGATTCCTAATAGAGTAACAGAATAACAGAGTTGGACAGGATCTTGGAGGTCTTCTAGTCCAACCCCTTGCTCAAGCAGGAGACTGTATGCCATTCCAGACAAGCTGTTCTTAAGCCCTGCCTCCAATCTCCCAATCCCAACATCTTTGGGAAAAGCTCTTCCTTGCTAGCATATTTGGACCTAACCTCTACTTTCTAACTTTGCCCTGATTTTGCCCTGACCATCAGCAACATGGTGTGGTTTGGTCACCTGACTCCGAGGAACTGCCTTCTCATGGTTTAAACAACACAACCAAGTCCTTAAGTTCATTGTGAGGGTGGTCCCAACTGAAGCATTAACAAGACTGACACTCTGATTCTTAAGCCTTGGAGAGAAAATGGAAGGTACTCAAGAGTTAGAGAACCTCATTAGAGTTCCTTCCTTCCAGAGCCAATTAGATGTTCATCAGAAGGAGCACATGGGGCAGGAGCAGTCTCGCTCATGCATTCAACCTTTTTGCGTGCATTCATTCTGCCCCTTCTTACTTTTCCTCTCTTCCTTTTGATTTCTTCTCATCGTGACCAACTGGAGGGCCTGGAGATCTTCCTATTTTCAAGTTTAAAAATTCCACCAAGCTCCAAAGTCAATGATGACAGGAAACAGGCCTGTGGATAGCTCCAATTTCAAATCCAGTCCATTAAGGAAGAAATAGCACCAAATATACTTCCATGCAGATATATATATACAAGGTCACACCATTGCTGTCTGTGACACCCATTCACTAGTGGTTAAACTGAACGGAGTCAAAGGTCATCAAGGCTGCTTCCTAAGGCCAGTTCTCAGCTGCTCTCTGCCAACGTTTAGACTTACAGAATGCTAGGGCTGAGAGAGATCTTGGGGTTCTTCTAATCCAACCACTGACCAAGGCAGGCAACCTTACCTGGATGTGTTTTCCTTTCTTTCCAATGACAAAAGCCAACTCAACTTCCCAGTCAACTTCCTAGAAGAGAAACAAGCAAGGGTGAACCTCTGATTTGCCACCCAAAGAGCTGGCTCAGGAATTCTGGGAGTTGAAGTCCACAAGTCATAGAAGAGCCAAGGTTCCCCACCCCTGGGGTAGACCATTCCCACCTGCAAATAGACTCACGTCGGTCTCCCCTGGGTGAATGATGGCATCGTAGGGTCCCACAATAGAACTGGAGAACTTGCTGAAGATGATCGGCTCCTTGGGGATCTTGACATTCTGCTCCAGGCAGTGGTCCACGTAGTTCATGCCGACACAGATCACTTTATCTGGGCTGGTGATGGGTGCCAAGAGGGCCAGTTCGGAACGGGGCAGAGGAGGACATCCAGACTGCTGTGCTCTGTGGAGGAAGCTCGAAAGCATCAGTGCCTCCAAACTGGAACTGCTGAACAGCCATGGCTGATACAACACACTGCTCCTCTCAAAGGGGTCAATGGGGTTAAAAGGTTGGCTGGCTGGTCTGTCTCTCTGTCTGTCAATCATCTAAGAGCCCTGGTGGCGCAGCGGTTAGAATGCAGTACTGCAGGCTACTTCTGCCGGCAGTTTGAGTCTCACCAGCTCTAGGTTGACTCGGTCTTCCACCCTTCCGAGGTCGGTAAAATGAGGACCCAGATTGTTGGGGGCAATAAACCGCTTAGAGAAGGCTATAAAAGCACTGTGAAGTCTAAGTGCTATTGCTATTACTCTGTCTGTTTGTCTATCAAATTTATATGGCCGCCCACTCACTGTCAGTGACTCTGGTGGCTTTCTTCTCCCCACCTTCCCTTCCCATCTCTCCAGCTTCATCCTACATCCCAGCCACCTTAAAAGTCCCAGCGGCCTTGCAACCCAGACCTTTGTTCTGCAACCCGCTTCTTCTCTGGACCAGCCAGTAGCTGCCCTCTCACCTACCTTCTGGCTGCTGCAAGTGCCGCCTCTCCTGCCTCCAGGAAGGCCCGCATGGTCCTGGGCAAGGATGGGTCAAAAGCGTTCAGGTCCACCACATCTCCACCGTCTTGCTCCTCCAGCCCAATCCGGGCCTCAGTTGATCCCTTGGCCTGGAACTGAACCAGCCTCATGGCCCCACTCAGCTGGGAAACTCTCCTGCGCCCCACGGTCTTCCAAGCCCAGCTCAGCCTGAAGCCCACAGGAAGAAACCTCCACGGTTGGCACTGCATCCAAACCTAAGAGAAACACAAGGGGGGGGGGCTCTTTGAAAGCGGCCCTGGGGTCTCCTGGCCCTCCGACCACAGAGGACACTGCCTGTTCTCAAGATGGCATCTTCCCTCTGCTTCAGCCTCAAGCCAGCCTCCAGACCAAATTATTTCAAAATGTAACCTATTAACTTATATATATGACTTCTTCAATTCCTCATATCCTTACAACAAAATTGGCTATGTATTTCCACCAAATGTGTACAAGTAGTACAATTGAGCCCAACATTTCCATTGCTAGCCAAGTCAGTCGTTAAATGAATTTTACGAACTTTCTTGCCACAGTTGCTAAGCGAATCACTGCATTCGTTAAGTTGGTAACGCGGTCGTTAAGCGAATCTGGCTTCCCCCATGATTTTGCTCTTCAGAAGGTCGCAAAAGAGGATCACGTGACCCACCCCCGGGACACTGCAACCGTCATAAATATGAGATAGTTGCCAAGCACCCGAATTTTGATCACGTGATCACAGGACGCTGCAATGGTCTTAAGTGTGAAAAACGATCAGAAGTTACTTTTTTCAGTTGTAGCTTCAGACATACCCTAAATGAATGGTTGTAAGCCAAGGATTATCTGTAAAAGGTTTCCAGTCAGTCACAAATACAGATACTGTACTTTATTTTTCTCTGAGCCAAGAAGTTTATTTAGCCATCATTAAGGCCTCTGCTTTTTAATACCATTTGTTGACTGTGTGTGGCTCCTTCCTTGCTGTTGTCCTGATTAGAATACTGCTCCTTCTTCCTGGCTTCTAAGGAAAGAAACAACCCCCCCCCCCACACCAAAACTGGCAGGGGAAACCACAATACATAAAATAGTTCAAGAAATTCACTCCTCCTTGCACTCCTCCTTCCCAGAGTTCGCCATGAGAAAGTTAGCTGCTGCTGATTCTTTGGAGAAAACAGGTTTCTAGTCCTCATGGCAGCCAATGAAGGCATCAAAGAGAGGGAACATGCCTCCTCGAAGGAAGTATTACGCAATCCCAGGAAGGTGGGATAAACAAGACCCCCTACTTTTTCTTCCCGACAGAAAAACGCACTCCTTTCCATAAGCGTTTGCAACTGGGTGCATTTTTGCACCTCTCCCTTTCCTTGCTGGGCGAAACGCATGGAATAAAAGTGACATTGAGGAAGGACGAAAACAAGAGGGGTGTAAAACCCCCAATTTCTCCCAGTTTGGTTCTACTGCAGCTGTCCCGGGTCCGCCCCAATTTTTGCAGCTGCAGCTTCGGCTGCAATCTGGGGGAGACGCAGGGACCCCCAATTCGGGAGGAGCCCGGGATCCGTGCACCGCCGCTCCCCACGTACCTGCGAGCTGTCGGCAGGAGGAGGAGCAGCGGCGGCGGCGGCGGGACGCCCGAGAGCAGTGCTGCATGAGACAGGCGGACTACAGTTCCCAGGCATCCCCGCGGCACGTTCAGCGGGGGAGAGCGTTTCCATTGGAGACGTTCAAGGCGGGCGGACTCGGGAGATAGGAAAAATAGAGGGGACCTGCCTGTTCCTTTGGAGGCTTCCGGAGAGGTCGCATAATTGAATCCCCTGTCTTGTATCAATGCTTCTCAACCTCAGAAGCTTTAATGTGGGGACTTCGATTCCCAGAATTCCCTAGCTTGTGAGTTGAAGTCCAGGTCTCCTGAAACTTACTGAAGTTGAAAAGTGCTGCTGTCCATGATAGTTCTCTATGATAGAATTCCTATTAATATCATTAAACCGTGTATTCTTGGGCTCGTCCACTTTAGGACGTATGGATTAGGGAAGTCTGGGAGTTGAAATCCACACATCTTAAAAAGAGGACAAGGCCGTAACGGCTCAGATTCCCAACTGACCACATACAAGTGGCAGAAAGTAAAGCAGGTGGGAAAAGATACTCCGCTTTCCATCCTTCGTGTGTGTGTGTGTGTGTGTGTGTGTGTGTGTGTGTGTGTGTGGCTTATTGTGTGTGTGTGTGTGTATGGCTTATTGTGTATCTTGTAACTTCAACTATTTTCGGGTTCTGTAACTATGATTCAAGGATCACTCTATATTTCTTGCTCTATGGCCATGTGAAGCGACGCCGCCATCATAAAGACGCATGCGTGATGCTTTCTGTAGTTCCGCCGAAGGAAGATAAAACCTCAATTCCCGGCATCCTCTCCTTCCTTCACCAAGCGCAAAGCCGCGTTGTTAATAAAATAAGATTAAAAGGGAGAGGGAACTCCGGGTCTGTTGGGAGTCTTGCAATTCCCCTCCCCCCGGCTTCCTGAGCGGCTCTAACTGTTTTCGCGAGGACGTTCGAATGCATTTCATTGCAAGCGATTGTGCAAAACATTACCGAGGTCGCAGGGGCTGCATTCGGGCAACAACAAACTGGTTGACATAACAGAGTGGCCGTGTTTAGAGGAACAAGCCACGATTCACACAACAGGCTGAACCACAAGCAACCCATTGCAGCCCTTGCTCACATATGAACCTAGCCAGAGAGGTCTGGGGTGAAAAAGGACGATCTCTGCAGGGTTTTTTGTAGGTCATTCAGTTGCTTCGATTGATTGCGATACGATCTTTTGCCAGAGGATCTGTCACTAGAGGCTTCTTGGAGATGTTACAAAATGCTGCTTTGCACCATCAGTGACCAGATGTAGCCATCTTGTCTTCTGTTGGCCTCCCTTGTGATGCCTCTCGGTTTCAAGCTGATGAGCCATCAGGCACTTCTGTGTTCATTGTATGCCTAAAATATTTACGCTTTAGCTTCCTTAATAGCTCTTCCGGTGCAATATTTGGCTTTACTTCATCTAATCTTGAATAATTTGTTCTTATGGTCCAAGGTGACTTCAACCATGGTCTATTGCACCAAGAGAGCTGCCCTCTCAGCAAACTAAGAATTTACTCAGTGCATAACTGAGACAAACACTGTTACAATCCCCAGTCCTGGAAATATACTGTACCTTGGCATATAGTGGTTGGACTCAGGCAGCACACCCGCCCCTAGCCCCACTGAGGCCACAGTTGTTGGGACTATAAGAACAAAGAAGCCAGGCCTATTTTGGCTCAGGTAAAATGTGCAAAGAAACAGTGAGCCTGATCTCCTCCCTTTTGTGTGCACCTGGCAAGTCCCAAATAAATAAAATAATAAAAGTTCATAGCTGGGCCAAGATCAGCTGTGGGAGGTTCTGATGTTCCTAGAAATCCAGAATATTCTGCTTTCTTCCTAGGATGCACCAGTCCAAAGCTTCCAGGGTGGTTTGTCATTTTCTGGAAGTGAAACTAACAGGAGGCCGTCTAAATCTGAAAAAATTACAAGCCAACCAGGAATGATGTGTGCTAGGAAAAGCATCCTGCAGTTCCAAGGAATATCACAAGATCCCATGTCCAGAATTCACAGTTTTTCTCATCTGTACACCGAGTTAATTACCATAATCTTCTTTCCACCAGCTCTATACAAATCCTAACAACCTTTGTCCAGATCAATCGAGATGCTTCCCAGAGGACAGAAATCTTGAAAATAGCTAAGGTGACCAACCGTCCTCCTTTAGGGAGGCCAGTCCTCCTTTTGTAAGTTCTGTCCTCCCTCGAAAGATGTCCTCCTACATGTCCTCCTTTTCAATATTTGAAGACTAATCTGCAGGGCTTTTTTCCCCTCATAGAATGCTCAGAACAGCATTTCAGCACCTTTATTTGATGGGTTTTTTTTTCAACTTTTGCACGAGGTGTGCTATTCCTGCTATTGGCTTTCGAAAGCCAATAGGAATTGCTGCTGAGCGCGCCAAAACACCCGGCTGGCAAACTTTGCACATGCAAGCTGTCTGTATTATTGTTGCAATGAATAAAATGTTTTTTTTATTTACGATATTTTTTTCTTCAATTTATTTGTGTCCTCCTTTTCATTGTAAAAAAGTTGGTCACCTTAAAATAGCTTATGTGCAGACGTTTAGGCCCTACTAGCCACATAAAAGTCAAATACGTGTGTAACCCCATCAGCACACGGCTACAAGATCCTCACCTTCCATCATTCAAAGGAGGAGTGGCCATTCATTGTACACTTTAGCCTCCAGCCCTCTAATAATCTTTGTTGTTTTTCTCTGCACTCTTTCTAGGTGTCAGCATCTATTTTGCATCGTGGTAGCCAAACTGGATGCACTATTCCAAGTGTGGTTTCAAGCAGGGCAGAGGTGGCCAAGTGGTTAGAATGCAACTCAAGGTTGGCTCAGCCTTCCGTCCTTCCGAGGTTGGTAAAATGAGGACTCAGATTGTTGGGGGCAAATATGCTGACTCTGTAAACTGCTTGGAGAGGGCTGTGAAGCAGTATACAAGTCTACAGTAGGTGCTATTGCTATTGCTATAAAGTGGTGCTGTTTGCATGGCATGCTTCCCCTGTACCAAAAACCCAACCCAGGCTGAGCTTGCCCGGTGCGTGCATGTGGGTGAAATGCAGTTGGCTCATCCGGGACTCAGCAGCTGGGGAGAATCAGACGGTCCTCTGGAAACAGGCGAGGATCCTTCTGCTGGGAGAGTCGGACCTGGAGGATCCGGTTGTAGCTCCCTGGGATGGAAGTTCTCCCCCGACGGGTCTTGCAAGAGACCTGCCCTCGCCTCCGACATTCAGCCCTTCCCAAATTCTGTGGAAATCCACTGAAGAAACAGAAGTTCCCCAAACCAAACCTTGTAGAGGAAATTTTTAATTATTTTCTTCAAGTCATGAAAGATTTGATGTTCGAGGATTACAGTTCAATATATGAGGAGCAGGACAATCTTTTACTCTTTTTTAAAAAATAACCCTGCCACACTGCTGGAAATCTCTCTCCCTGAGCCAAGAAGGCATGCCGAAACACGCCCCAGATTTCCCCCCTCAACCCTTTCCCTCCCTCCCTCCTCCCTCCTTTTCCTCAGTGTTTACGTCCTGAAAATCCAGGGGGTTTTGCCCTCGCTCGCGTCTTCACCCCGATTTCCACCATTAGGTATAAAAAGAGTTTCTCCAAAAGAGGTTTGCTTCGTAAGTGCAGGCCAAGGAGGCAGGTGGGTCAGGAAAAAACAGGCGGGAACCTGAGCATCCTAAATGACATTTTCGAAAAGCTGCATGGAGCTCATGATGTTCTCATCCTAGAGAAGCAGGAGAAGACGAGAGAGAAAGAAACAGAAGGCAAGAACAGAGGTTCAGAGGGAGAAAGATCTCCTGTATCTGGCCTACGGCTTTAGTGGAGCAATTTCCTATCCGGAGGCCGTATGACCGCAATCAAACCCAAAATTTCCATTGCTAAGCAAAGAGAGTCATTAAGTGAATTCTGCTCTATTTTATGTCCTTTCTTGCCAGAGTTGTTAAGTTAATAACACAGTTATTAAGAGAATCTGGCTTTCCCATTGATTTGGCTTGTCAGGAGGTTACAAAAGGTGACCACTCCAACAATACATCCCCAGTAGCCCTGGGAATGCTGCCACGGTCATAAGTGTGAAAAACAATCATAAGTCACTTTTTTCAGTGCTGTTGTAACTTTGAATGGTCACTAAAACAATGAGGCCTACCTGCAGGAAGAAATAGGTAAAGGAAGAAGTATATGGTAGAGCCCAGAGCATCCCTCTTCCCCCGCAGAAGTGACCCCGTGCTTCTTCTACTTATTCCCTTGTGGCCTTGGCACAGCCTGCCTTTGGGTCCTTCCAGAACTTAGAGAGAGACCTCGACTCGCAACCATAAGGAGACCCAGAATTTTGGTCATAAGTCATTGAGAGCGTAAGTTGAAGCACTACATGACCAGGCTCGGTTTTACAATGATAGTAAAATGAGTCACTCCACTCACAAAGTAGATCGGACGGTCATTAACTGAATTCATCGTATTCGATATTCAATGTTTTTTTCCAGCAACCGTAAAAAAAAAATGCCAGAAGCCAACAAAAAATATATATATCCCAATTCACACCAATATGGCTGCCGATGCTGCAAGTTATGGCAATTGTAACTGCAAGGACGGATCGTCAAGACCTTTTTTTAAAGTCTGTCGTAACTTCAAACAGTTGTTCACCGACCGTCATAAGTCGAGAATCACCCGTAGCACTAGAGGCCAAACAGCAGGCAGCACGTGGAGACAGCAGGATTAGCTGCCCCCAGAAGAGGCTGCTTAGAGTCAGATTTGCTGCATTTATTTATAGGACCAAACCCCAAGTGTAAAAATAAGTGACGTATTATCTGCTTCACTTTAGCAGCTAAAATAAGAATTGCCCACTACTAGAAACCTCTAGCTAATGTAACAACTGAGATGTGGATTGCCACATGAGAAAAAAAGAGTTAAAATAATAAGGGGCAGGACCCCAATTCTATCAAATTTGGATGGATTTTATATCTTCCCTCAATAGCAATAGATTAGAACAGGGATAGGCAACCTTGGCTCTTTTATGACTCGTGGACTTCAACGCGTCTCCCCAAATTTCTGGAGTTTTTCTTTTTCACTGGTGCCGGAGTGTGTGTCACAAGTTGCACCAGCAACAACAACAACTTCAACATCCACAAAGCTTTAAACTTAAAACAAGTCCTATTCTGTGTTAAGCTGCAGAATTCCACTGAACTCACCTTTTGACACGTCTCTAAGAATTCCTCAATGGTGACTATGCCGTCCTGATTCTTGTCCATTTTCTGCAAGAGAAAAATGTGCTTTTTGAATGGAAGGTGCCCATCCAAGGGTCTACACCTGGGGTCTTCAAACTTGGCCCTTTTATGACCTGTGGACTTCAACTCCCAGAATTCCTCAGCCAGGCACCGTGCCTAGCTGAGGAATTCTGGGAGTTGAAGTCCACAAGTCATAAAAGGGCCACGTTTGAAGACCCCTGCTCTACGCTGCCCTTGGATGGCCTGATCCGTGCCATTTGTGCCATGATGATGATGATTTCATAATGGCTGGATGCCTTTGTCCTGATCCTATGCTTTAACACTTGCTGACGATGGACAGAGTCCGTTCCTTCATTTTACCTGGAAGAACTTTTCCACGTGCTCGAAAGGAGCGTCTTCCCGCAGGATCGGGTAGGTGTAGCGGCCCATCATGTCATAGATGGATTTCATGATTGCCAACATCTCCTGGTAGACAAGGAGAACAAAGCTTTGACAGCAGCACATCAATATAACAGAATAACAGAGTTGGAAGGGACCTTGGAAGTCATCTAGTCCAACCCCCTGCTTCCAACAAGCTACGTCAATGGAGGAAGCCAGATCCACTTAACAACTGCAGTGATTTGCTAAACAACCGTGGCCAAAAAGATTGTAAAATCTGCCACTGCTCATTGAACGACCGCCTTGCTTAGCAAAGGAAATACTGGTCCCAGCTGTGATTGTCAGCCCAGGGCTACCTGTCAGGGGTTGCAGGGTGGGGGGGGCAATTGCCCCGGCTCTTGGGTATCAAAATAGTATTTGGCTAGTACCTCCTTGGTGATGTAGCCGTCCTTGTTGATGTCATAGAGGTTAAATGCCCAGCTGAGCTTCTCATGCACTGTGCCACGCAGCAAAATGGAGAGGCCGATGACAAAGTTCTGTTCAAGACAGCAGTACAGAGAGAGACCAGTCACAGCCTAGCAGCACGGCGGGGGGGGGGGGACACTGTATGCCAGGCCTGTCAAGACTTAAACCTCTAAGTAGAAATGATCCTTGGCTCCATTTGTTGAGAGAGGTTATAGTTTTAATAGAAGCCAAATGCATCGCAGTAACGCATAGCCAGAACTAAGAATCGTGCGGCAACATCCCTACATTTCACTTCCCCCCCCCCTCTAATTCAGCTGCCCCCAACCTTTTGGGCACCAGGGACTAGTTCCATGGAGAGAGGTTTTTCCACAGACTGGAGGCGGTGTTGTTTTGCATGTTGCCTGCATCCCACGGATGGGGCTTTGCTTGTTTGCGCTGCCCGGTTCCTGCCATGCCGCAGACCAGTGGCGGTCCCCGGACTGAGGGTTGGGGACCCCTGATCTAGCTGTCTCCCATCGCTGCCCACCCCATGCCCAGTCAGGTTTAAGATGTTTTCAGAATGGACACTTCAAGTGAAGGTTTATACACAGCTGCCTTCTTCTCCCAACCGGATGACCAGGGAGCTACAGCAAAGGGAGCTACAGCAGTTACTGTCGCTTTCCCCAAGTAGCCATTACTTTCACTTTACCCCCAAGCATCCCCTCTCCAGCCCTCCCCATAGTTCATGGCAGACTGTCACCGCATGGTGTCAAAGCACAAGCTGCCGCCATACTTGGCTTTGTTGAAAGCAAGACATCTCCTTAACTAGGTTAAGTTATTCAGCAGTTCCTAATTCTAAGGACTCCTCCTAAGGATCAGAATTGTCAGATTCCCTGGATGGTTACAAAGGGACCATTAGAACTCTTGTTTGTGTCACATTGCAGAAATTAATTTGTCCCAGTCTTGAAGTTAAACAAGCCACTGGAGGGGTGTGAATGCAGCAGTTAATATTTAACACACCTAATTAAGTGTTTAGGAATAGAACAGAATTACCATACACAACATTACGTAGAATCCTAGAGCTGGAAGCGATCTTGGAGGGTACATATTTTAAACCAATTTCAAGACACGTGGACTTCAAATCCCAGAATTCCTCAGCAAGCAAGCTGGGAAATTCTGGGAACTGAAGCATCCCCATCTTAAAGCAGCTGAGATTGAGACTCTAAAGGGCATGTGACGCCTCACAGATCACTTCTTTTCATATTAATGGGATTTCTTTGCTTCTAATTTTGGATTCAGAATTTCGTGTTCCTGTTTTTCAGGTCTAGATTTAGTTGGATGAGCCTCTGTCCAAAAGGCTGCAACGAACCAGTGCACAATTATTATCTGCGATTTTTCAATGGACATAATTGCTTTATTTATCAAGTTACCTCACAGCTTCAGGACAACTAAAAGGATTTAAAAGGGCAAGCTTGTACATCTGCATATGAAATTGCTGCCTTTTGCATCTTTTCTGCCAAGTAAAAATGCATTTTTCAGAAATAACGATATTCAGGCATTGTGCTCAATTTTTTAATTAAACTTTTCTTACAGTGTCCACCCACTCCTCTCTTTTCATCAAATTAAGGCAACTTGCATACACTACAAAGACATTGCAATCAGAACCACTGCATACAGGGGCTTCAGTGGAGGGGTGCATGCCAAAAAATAAAGATATCTTTAACAATGCAAGTAGTTTGCTTTAGTTTGGCAAGATTTCTGTTTAAACTATAAAAGAAACTGCTTTGAAGTAACTCAGCATGTCTTTTTAGGGTCTGAGTCTACAGCAAATCAATTAAAAAGGAAAACAAATGTTTAGAAGCTGTTTGAAGAAAACCCAACTCAGATGTTCAACAGAAGCTGGAACACAAGTTTTCTAAGCTGGGGTAATAAAATTATACCATTTCAAGGGCAGTGTAGAAGGTAACTAGGCAGAGGGAGGGGTCAAGCATGTCATCAGTCTTGAGTCCCTTCACATCCACCAAAGATCTAAGTCCAGCCCACCTTGTTTTGACCGTTAGTAGTTCAGATTCTTGTAGAAAGTGTTGGCATGCAATAAACCTGCAGTCATTTGAACTGCTCTAGCTCCTGATTTCCTACACTTGACAGGCAGAAGGAAAAATAACCTTGAGGAACAGGAGAAGAGCCTCAGCCAAGATAAAAGAAATCTGAGTCTGGGGCAGAAATGTAATTTGAGAAAACAGGTCAGACTTGACCCTCTCTAGTTCCTACAATGATCCCTTGAATATAAAGGGAGGAAGGAAGAAACGCATTTAGATTTTATTTCTATAACCTTATAAAGGAGGTAGTAGTTTAGTATTCATAATTTTGGTTTTAAATTTGGTCTCCTTTGAATGTCTGGCATGCCGAGAGGTGGGCAATCCATTGGGCTGAGTGGAGAGGCAGCTCCAAAATGAGAACCACGGATATTTCGCCCAAAAGTTTTCATTTAATGGCATAACATCCATTAGCCCGTTTCCTCCAATCTGAGTTTAAATTCTTGTTCTATTAATGGGAAGGCAGGCAGATGCCCCAAACCCTCCGTATCTTTCTTTCTTGGTCTAATCCTGTTTAATGGCTCCTTTCCATGTTCTAGAACAGGGTTCTTCAAACTTGGCAACTTTAGATTTGTGGCCTTCAACTCCCAGAATTCCTCAGCCAGCCATGCTGAGGAATTACATGCTGGCTGAGGAGTCCTCAAGTCTTAAAGTTGTCAAGTGTGGAGATCCCTGTTCTAGAAAGCAGATTCCACAGCTTTAGCAGCATACACAAATCTCTTCGATCTACTGCCAGGGGTTAGGGAAGCATTTCCAGTTCCTTTCAAGATAACTGCCTTGTTTCCATAGAAAGAGCAAACTTTACAAGATACAGAAAATTCACCTTACTTCAAATCGAATGGCTCCGCTCCGGTCCACGTCGAAAGCATTAAACAGGAAGTGGGCATACATGGTGGCATCTGCAAAAGAAATGGCAGAAGCAGATGAGGTACCAGCCAGAAGAGTTTTTCTTATGCCCCGTAGAAAGTTTCCCTGGGACTCCATTGGAGATACCCCATTGTTGCCATCAGAGACGAATGAAATAAGGTTGCTTAGGCTGAGCAAGGACTGGATGCCGTGCTCCCCAGAGTCTTCAGCACCCCACTTTTGGCCTCCAAACTTAGCAGACCAAGAGACTATTTTTGAACCCAGATACAAGCTAGGCTGGAAAACAAACACCATCCCAGAAAGAACTGAGGGCAACCATTTTGGTTCTGTTGTCAAGGCAAGGATTCATAATAGGTCCATAAAATCACAGAGAATCAAGCTTGTCTCAAGGATGACTTCGTTATAGGTAGTCTCAACTTACAACTATTCATTTAGTGACTGCTCAGAGTTACAATGGCACTGAAAAAGTGACTTATGACCACTTTTCACACTTACGGCCACTGCAGCATCCCCACGGTCACGTAATCAAAATCTGGATTCTTGGCAACTGACTCGTCTTTATGACGGTTGCAGTGTCCCGGGGTCACGTGATTTCTCCCTTTCCTGACTTCTGACAAGCAAAGTCAATGGGGAAGCCAGATTCACTTAACAACCGTGTTACTAACTTCACAACCGCAGCAATTCTCCTAACCCACTCTTAAGTTAAATGTTAAGAGTTGAACTCAACTCTCTAAACTGGCTGGGGAATTCTGGGAGTTGAAGTCCACTGAATATAAGCTATTGAGATGCATGGTGGACTCACCTCCCTGGGGAAAGAATTGGGCGTAGATGAGCTTGAAGGTCTCTTCATCCACGTGGCCGCTCGGACATTCCTGAAGACAAACCACACAGAAGTTACAGCTGGCAGGAACAAATTCCTACCCTGACTCAGCTTTTGGAGTCCAGCTCAGCTTTTCTTCTGCTTCTCCCTTTCTTTCTTGACAAAAAGACCTCGTTCTGTATGCTCACACAGCTGAAACCCGGAGCAAAGGCTGTGGACGTGCCAACTGGTTCTGGAGTACCCTCCAAGGGGAGCCGGGCTGTGGCTGCCCCAAGACGTGAGTCAGAAACTACAGGCTGGGTTGCGTATTTTACAGCTGCTGCCAAGAGCCGAGCATTACAGGAAAGCGATTAAAGATACACGAGGCTGAAGACAGAGGTGGTTTCCTGGGAGAGAGGGAAGTTCTCACAAACTCCCCTGGCTTCCAGCCCAGGCTGAGTCAACAGCCCAGCTCTGTGCCAGCGGAGCCATCTTGAGAAGCAGAGATGAGCCTTGGGGTTCTCTGAGTGTTTTTCTGGAACCGCACCGTTTCTCTTTGGGAAGGAGATGCTGTAAATTGTTGGGGGAAGAGTTTCAGGCAACGGCATGACGAGATTCACATCCATAGTGCTAAGGCTGGAGAACTTGTGGGGGACGGGGGGGGGGTCTGGGGGCCTGGGAGGTCTGTGTCAGAACTGCAGGATTTGCAGATGGTTCCCGGTGTGTACAGGTGTGTGTACATCTACCCACAGGCACAAATACACACCATATTATTTTAGGGTTTACATTGGAGTACCTTGGCTCAATATAGAACTTCATAAAATCCTAGAGCTGGAAGAGACCTTGAAGGTCCTCTAGTCTAACTCCCTGCTCTAGCCAGGAGTCCTTATTCCATCACACAGGAAACGGCTCTGCTAGGTTTTGACTACGGTGATACGGGCTGCAAGAAAGAGTTGGGGACTGCCCGTTGTGTCTCACTATGCTAATCCAGACTTTGAATAACCACAGTTTGTTGAATAAGCTAGATTCATGTGACGGATGAATGAGAACCAAAATCCCCCTTTCATATTGGACAGGTTGAATGGGATCCATTGCTGTTAGAAACATGTAACCAAAACAGGGCAATTTCAGGATAAGAAATACATAATTGGAGATGATCTCAGAGACTGGCTAGCTGAGCCATCTGTTCAGGGCAGAATACACTATGTAGCCTCTGGTGAAAGACCTTTCACCACTCGTGACCAATCCTGGAAGCTTGTGAAGACTTTGTGATAAGCAGTTTTGAGTAATGAAGGAAAAAAGTTTGGGTAGCACTGCTCTAAAGATGGTGAAATAAAGAAATCACAAATGTCACAACGCCTCCGTGTGCGTACATGAGAGAGGACGTACATTCTAAAGGCATCTATTAAAAGAATTATTTAAAAAAAAGAGAGAGAGAAAAGAAGAAGCAGAAACACTCACGTTCTTGAATCCTCTATAGAGGGACTGCAGCTCCTTTTTGGTGAATTTGGTTAGAAGTTGGAGCCGGTCCAGCCCTTCAGGTTGATGCCGGATGGCTGAAAGTTCCAACTCGCTGTCGCTGCTGTCTGTGAAAAGAAGCCAACGGACAACATTGACGCTCCACTGTGCACACAAAAGGCACCACTTGGATTACAGGCAGGCCTCGACTTACGACCACTCGTTTAGTGACCATTCACGGTTACAACGGCACTGAAAAAAATGACTTACGGCCGTTTTTCACAGTTACGTCCTTTGCAGCATCCCCACGGTTATGTCCTCAAAATCCAGACCCTTGGCAACCGGTTCATATTTACGACGGTTCCATGTCCTGCAGGGCACGTGGTCCCCTTTTGCCACCTTCTGACAAGTCTATGAGGAAGCCAGATTCACTTAACAACCGGGTTACTAAGTTAACAATTGCAGTGTTTCACTTAATGACTTTGGCAAGAACGCTTGTAACAACAGAAATTTTGGGCACAATTGTCGTCGTAAGTCAAGGACTACCTGTAATAGAAATAGAAAATGAAGATGCTAAAGTCACCCTGGCAACTGCCACACAACATGCCAGACTGAACAACTGTCGACAAAAAAGACAAAAAAAAGTTTGGGCACTGGACGTGGCAGTACCTGGAGACAACAGAACGGAACTAAGAGAACTGGAGAAGACAACAAAACAGCAAGACCTGTACATGGACGTAGAACCGCTGTGGCAAAAGAAAGCAAAGCTGGCCTCAACAGTCACTGGCGCCCTGGGTGCAATCCCCAAACAGCTGGAGCCCAGTAGCCCCAAACTATCTGGAAAGCATCAGGTGATTGACGGTTGCCACGACAGGAGGCATTGCTTTATTCTTTAAAAAGTCACAGGAGGCAACTTCAGCAAATAAATATCTCTGTTGCAACCACACTGCCCCCCCCCCCGATTCATTTGCCTAGTCCAGGATCTTGTGGTTTGATGCTGGCAGAAGAATTCAATAACCCCCCCCCCCTTGTCCTGACTCAGCAGAACCACCTTTATGCCATGGGAGCCAAGGGCCTCCTCTCCAATCGCATCCAGTCTCCCAGATTCACTGCTGTGCTTTTCCTCACCTTAGGACGATCTCTGTTTGACAGATTTATGATCAGGGTTTTTTATTTATTATTATTATTACTTTTCCCAAACAAGCCCTGAAAGGCAGTGGGAGATTGCCTGCTTCTGGGCAAGGGCAGAGCAAGGCATGACACAGCAATGGTGGGGAGCTTCTTTCAAAAACAGGATGAGCAACACCCAAGAGCCAGGCTAGACCCACCCCGAGCTTTTGGCTAGAAAGGCTGACTCAGCCCCACAAGAGCTGGTTATGTGGGCTCCTGGGGGTCTCAAGTGCTCCTCCCCTGTTTCTCTTGAGACATCTGGGGCAATTCTCTCCTCTTTGCTTTTTTCCCTTCCCCTCCCTCCCTCTTTCTATTTCTCCTTCCTTCCTCCCTTCTTTCTATCTCCTTCCTTCCTCCCTTCTTCCCTCCCTCCTGCCATCCCTCCCTCCCTCGTCTCCTACTTTTTTCCTCCCTTTTCTCTCTCTCTCCCCTTCCCTCCCTCCCCTCCTGGAGGGCTTTTGCCAGGGGGCCAATGAAGAGGCAAGGGAAGACATGGCCGTCCTTGAGGCCACTTTGGATGTGTTTCAGGTTTTTGATTTAAGGCTCCAGCAAGCTTTTCCCTTTGATTGGTATTTTATCGTGGAGTGTTAAACTCTAAAACTTTTAAGAAACCCGGGTAAAAGATTTTCTTTAGCTCCTGCTCACCTCCCTTTGCCTCTCAGCATCCTGTCTCAATTTAATTTCTTTCTGCATTTCGGGTTTTGGGGGGGGAGTCTGGGTGTGAGGTGAGGATACTGTGGACAAGTTTCCAACCAGGAGTCATACCAAGAAAAGATTGTGTATAGTCTGTGCAAATTTCCCTTGCCAATTGCCCAACTCCTGATTTCATCTGACTATTTGCTTATAAGATCAGAGTAATAAGGATATCTTAAATGGAAAACTGGCAGCTGTGAAATAAGAAAACAGTTTTCGGTGTCACCTTTTTCAAAAATGCTCCTGGATCCCACAAGGGCCTACGACGCATTCTTGGAAAACTACAAGGGTGGCAAATGGACTTTGCTGGCAAGAAGTAGTCGAGAAGATGGCCTTAAGCAGCCTCTTTAAGTATTGTTGCCAAGAAGCAACAGATGGAAACTAATCAAGGAGAGAACCTAGAACTAAGGAGAAAATTTCATGACAATGAAAACAATTACCTGTGGAATGACTTGCCTTCAGAACTTAGGAATGCTCCATCACTGGAGCTTTTTAGCAACCATTTGTCCAGAATGGTAAAGGGTCTCCTGTTTGAGCAGGGGGTGGGACTAGAAGACCTCCAAGGTCCCTTTCAACTCTGTTAATCTGTCAAAACAACAGTCCAAGAGGCGATTGGAGTCCTCACATTTAAATTGGGTTGTTGTTGTTAGTTGCGAAGTCATGTCCGACCCATCGCGACCCCATGGACAACGTTCCTCCAGGCCTTCCTGTCCTCCACCATCTTCTGGAGTCCATTTAAGCTCACACGTACTGCTTCCGTGACTCCATCCAGCCACCTCCTTCTCTGTCGTCCCCTTCTTCTCTTGCCCTCCATCTTTCCCAGCATTAGGCTGTTCTCCAGTGAATCCTTCCTTCTCACTAGGTGGCCAAAGTACTTGAGTTTCAACTTCAGGATCTGGCCTTCTAAAGAGCAGTAGATGAACTGGGTAGATGATGACAAATCCCTTGGGAAGGAGGGAAGGAGGCAGGGAAGAACTGCCCTAATTTGTCCTCTTGAGAAACGGAACCTACTTTTATCCTAACATATTTGGACTGTAAAAATCGAGGTGATCTTTAGATGACAGCAAAGAGTTGAGGGTTACTGCCACCTAAGAGTGACCCAGGTTTTTCAGCCCATTTGTGACAGCCCTAATGCATCTGGGTCATATCTTCTTTTGCAGGGCTCTGAGCTGATTTTAACCATGCATGCCCTTCCCAGCCAGCCAGAGCCCTACCTGCTTGACTTCATTCAAGCTGGCCGAACGTTTGGGCCCATCTAGAGAGGGTGGTGGTCACCATGGATGGTCAAATCTCTCAGCCCAAGCTACCCCTTAGCTGTGTGGAAAGATTGGAGAAGAACATGGTATGTGTGCTCTGCTGAGCTTCTGGAGGAAAGATGAGATGGGGTTTATAATGGAGGAATCCATCGATCAATCAATGATTGGGCAACATGATTTAAGGTGTGGATGCTCCAACACTGGAGGCTTTTAAGAAGGGACTGGACAACAATTGGTCGAAAATGATATAGGGTCTCCTGCTTGAGCAGAGGGTTGGACTAGAAGACCTCCAGGGTCCCTTCCGATTCTGTTATTCTGTTATGTTCTACTGCCTTCCCAGTGCTGGGATAGCAAACAGGACCAACCAACCTGCCCTTTTAAAGATAACAATCCCCCCCCCCCGCCGCCCTTGATTTGTGGTTCTAAAGAAGAGTTCTGCGGATATGCAGAAGCTTCGTGTCAGCCTCAGCTAGACGTTTGCGATGCTTTCTGTGTTTATCTCAGGTAACTGGAGAAGACAACAATCTCAGCTTTCAGAAGATTCCTTCAGAAGCCAGGAGAGGAGAACAGCAGCGGCCAATGAAAGGAGAGGCTGGCCTACTGCCAGTTGGGTCAGAGTAGTAAGTCAGACAGGAAAATGGAAGCGGGGAGGTTTGGGACAATAGCATTTAACGAAGGGAAGACTTTACCAGCAAGATCTTCGATGGGAATCAAAGAAGTTTGGAAAGAGAGAAAGGGAGAGAGAAAGAGAGATAGAGAGAAAGGGAGACAGAAAGAAAGAGAGAGAAAGGGAGAGAGAGAAAGAAAGAGAGAAAGGGAGGGAGGGAGAGAGAGAGAGAGAGAGAGAGAGAGAGAGAGAAAGGAAGAGAGAGAAAGGGAGAAAGACAGAAAGGGAGAGAGAGAGAGAGAGAGAGAGAGAGAGAGAGAGAGAGAGAGAGAGAGAGAGAGAGAGAGAAGGGGGGGGATGGAGTCGTGTCAATCAAAGACAGGAAAGGCACATTCCCAAGTTACCTTCCATGGACATGGGTTCCAGGATCCCGAACTGTTTGAGGACCGCGATGAACAGGATAATGACCACAGCCACGGCGCAAAGCTCCATCCCTTGGATCGCCATGGCCAGCCAGTCTCCTGCGATGGGCGCAGGGCAGTTCTGGAGGCATGTGATTCGCAGCCCCCGTCCGAGGCCGGGCCGGCTCCCCTGGGAAGGCGAGTGCCAAGGCGCCCGGGTGCCAGCAGCCCACTGCCTGGACCCAGCCGGCTCACATCTTCCAGTCCTGCCGCCCCTGGAAAGGCTGCCGGGCAAAGCCCCCCCTTCAGGTTTGGCCCCGGGGCCGTCGCGGGGCAGAAGCGGGCGCCGGCGAGGAGGAGGAGGAGGAGGAGGGCAGACCGGGGCGGGCGGGGGCGGCGCGGCACCCGAGCGGGGCCTCTCCTGCCGGGCTCATGAAGGAAAACGAGCAGGCAGCGGCCAGCCGGCAAACTTTCAAAACTTGGCAGGAGAAAGTTCTCCCAGCAGAAAAAGGTCCCGCTGGCCGAGCAGCTCCGGCTTCTTCCCAGGCTGGGGCGATGTCATGGCTCCCGAGTCTCCCGGGTCCGCCGCCGCCTGTCTGGTCCGGCGCAGGAGCCGGCAGGGGTCACCCCGAGTTCCTCCGAAGCACCCCGGACGCCCTGCAATGCACCGCCGATGCCGGAGCAGAGAGTCGCCTGATCGCTGCTGGCATCCCGGCTGGCTGCAATGCCATTGGCTGCAAGGGCGGCTATAGAATATCAGCCCCCACCCGGGGGGGGGGGAGGAGGAGGAGGCTGGGAGCTTCTCCTCTGTGTCCTGGCAGAGCCATCCAGGATGCAGGAGATCAGGGTCACCATGGTGACCACGCTGTGGTCCAGCCTCATCCTACGGACAGCGGGCATCAAGTGCAGCCTCTCCAGGGCAGCTGGTTTCAGAGGCCAGGTGGGAGAGCGGAGCAGAGGTGACGGGCTCAAACTTTGGGGCAGGGGGTGGGGAAATGAAGATGCTTAATCTTGGAGGTTTCCAGTTCAAGGGTCCACCCGCTTCTCCTCCAGGATCAAATCTCAACTCCAAACATCTTTTTTCTTTGTCCTTTTCAATTATTAAAAGCCAGCGCCCTTGAGCGTGTACTTTTCCTGAATGGACGGGTGTCTCAGTTCCCATCTTGGAGAGAAAATTAAGAGTGATTCAGGGTGCGGGTTGAGGGATATCCTTGTGAAAACATGGGCAGGTGGGGAACCCTTTTTTTAAAACGCTCTTGCCCCCAAAGCTGCTGCCTGCAAGGCTCGCAGGATGATTCAGAAATGGCCCCTTGATAGGCAGCTTTGGAGTGAAGAGGAATTGGAGAGGAATCGCTTCAAAAATGTGGCCAGTATAAAAGCCCCCAGCAATGACCAGTTCTGGAGCCAAGGAAAGAGCCTCCCCTTTGGTCACTATATTATAAAAAAAGATGTTGAGACTCTGGAAAGAGTGCAAAGAAGAGCAACAAAGAGGATCAGGGAGCTGGAGGCTAAAACATAGGAAAAACGGTTAAAGGAATTGGATATGGCTAGTCTAGAGAAAAGAAGGCCCAGGGAAGACATGAGAGCAGCATTCCAATATTTGAGGGGCTCCTATGAAGACAAGGGGGTCACTTTATTTTCCAAAGCCCCAGAAGGCAGGACAAGAAACAACGGATGGAAACTAATCAAGGAGAGAAGTAATCTGGAATTAAGGAGAAACGTCTAACAGTGAGGACAATTAGCTTGCTTGTCTCCAGACGTGCTCCATCTTTGGAGTTTTTAAGAAGAGACTGGACAGCCACTTGTCTGCAGTGGTCTCGGATCTCCTGCTTGAGCAGTGGGATGGACTAGAAGACCTCCAAGGTCCCTTCCATCTCTGTAATTCTGTTAGTCTCCATTTTTCCATGACAGATTCTCCCATCTCTTATTTCCATGTCTTCATCACAATCTCCAGCCTGCTTCCCTCCAGATGTTCGAGACTTCAGCTCCCATCCTTTGCCTCCACAGGACCACCTGCAGTCTGGGCATCTTTGAAAAATCCAGTCAGTTTGGATTGTGAGCTGCATGCATCCCACCGGTGCAGCATGTGACCAGAGTTATAACAGGAAAAAAAAAATGAAAAAACTGCACTCTCTGTCCTTTTTGCAGATGGATCGCCACAATTTAAGAATGTTGCCTTCATCAGAAAATTATTTTAAAAAGCTCAATCACTCAGAGCAGAGAGCACAGGGAATGTTGCTTTGTGTCCTGTGGCTTAGCAAGTTTGTGCCCCTTATCTTTTTCTGTTGTGCAGTGGCTTTTTTAATTATTCATTTTAAATGCTGAATGACTGAGAGACAAGCTTGTTCGTAACCTCACAAAAAAGGACAGCACAAATCACAGGCAAGGAGAGGAGCAAGCATAAAACCAATTCATTTAAAGGGGGGCGTAAACCATTTTCTTTCAAGAAAGGAGAAACTCCGCCTTAATATAAAATCGTGTAGCAGGTAATTCCACTGGACACTCATGCAGGAAACAAAAAGCTATAGAGACAATCAGTGAAGAGCAGACGAGATGCATGCAAAAAAACCCCCCAGTTTGGTCTAGTGGAGAAGGCACCAGATTAGAAATTGGGAGAGTGTGAGTTCTAGTCCCACCTTAAGCCTGAAAGTCGGCTGGGTGACTTTGAGCCAATCATTCTCTCTCAGCCCAACCCACCTCACAGGGTGGTTGTAGGGAAAATAGATAGAAGAAGGAGTATTATGTATGCTTGCCACCTTGAGTTACTTATGGACAAAATAATAAAGGTAGGTAGGTAGGTAGGTAGGTAGATGATAGATAGATAGATAGATAGATAGATAGATAGATAGATAGATAGATAGATAGATAGATAGATAGATAGGATGAGGGCCTAGAAAGAAGACATTGATCCCTGTTTCTCTCCGTGTAAAATATTAAAGATGTTTAGAGGGATAAAAACTGCAAGGCTGCCTTCTCTCCACCCAGGGTGCATTAGCAAAGATTGGCCAGCCAATTTGATGGATGCCATTGGGCAATTCAGGGATGCTTCGGCTGCTTTGCTGGCCTCCTCTCTAGAAGCATCTCCCCAAAGATTTTGTTTGGGCCAGCCTCCAAAACAAAGACTTCTGTGTTGGTAATAAAGATCTCTTCCAGCAAAGTGTTAGAAAGAGAGCGAGGAATGAATGGTTGGGTGCCCAAGAGGCCTTTGCTGGAAGTATCCAGGTGAGGGAAGAGAATGCGGCCGTATCTTTGCTCCAAAGCCTAGGCTCGGGTTGCAAGTCTATTGGGACTCCTTTGGGCTAACTAGTCAAAGAATAGCTTACAACAGGATCTGAAAATGCTTTCAAATCCACTCCATTTTGCAGTCTCCACCAAGCTCCATCTAAATCCTATTTGGTTCCACCTTAATCCCATCCCACCTGTCAATGCTTTTAATCTTCCTCAACACTGGGAGAAATTCAGACATCCTATCCACCCCAGGCTGCTTATCCAAACTCTTTCCATCCTGAGACAGATTCCATGCTAGAAGCCATCAACGGCCAGTTTGGTCTAGTGGTGAAGGCACCAGGCTAGAAAGTGGGAGACAGTGAGTCCCAGTCCCACCTGAACAAAATCCAAGAGTTGTAAGGGTGAAAGGTTGAAAACAAGTGCCTGGCACATTCTGGAAGCTCAACAACGCTACACCTTGAGACAGAAAAATGAAATACTGTATCATTGCTTCACAAACTGCCCAAAGTACATTTAAATTGCAGCAGTCATAAATAATAGCAAACAGATATCTGAGAGTATAATAACTTAGGTTGCCCCAAAGGCAAACATTTTCCATTTTTTCCCTCTTTAATGCTGTATTTCCAGTGAAAATGGAGTTGGAAGTGGAATCCACTGGAGTTGGGGGACCAGTAAATTATATAAGTAAATTTCATACATGGTCAAAGAAGTCAAGATGGCAGCCAGATCCATGAAAGCAAAGCCACCCTTTTGACCTCCTTCCCACTCTCCCATACTCACCCCGGTCCCTGATGTTTTTGCTAAAGCCACGAGTTCAATTGATTAGTCAAAATGAGCACAAAAATGTTTAACTTAAAGCACGGAGAGCTGTAGGGAATGATCTGTCATAGGTGTGTCTCTGCTTGCCTCTGACCATCCAGGAAGAGAGAAGAAAAATAGCTGAGCTAAGCCTGGTTCCCCACCCAAAGGAGTCCGAAGACCCAGGAGAGTGTCCCCTGACACTGCTCTGTTTATAATGCAGACAAAATTCCCATTTTTCTCTCCTGCCCCCATGGGTCAGGCTTGAAACCTCTCTCTTGGGAACAGGAAGGACCGATCTCTTGTGATTGAAATTCTGACGCTTGGCAACTGGTTTCACATGTATGACCATCGCTGTGTCCCGGGGGGGTCACATGATCCCTTTTGTGACCTTCTGGCAAGCAAAGTCAGTGGGGAAGCCAGATTCACTTAACAGCTGGATTATTAACTTATCAACTGCACTGATTCACTTAACAACTCTGGCAAGAAAGGTCGTAAAATGGGGCAAAATTCACTTAACAAATTGCTCACTTAACTATAGAAAGTTTGGGCTCAGTTGTAGTCATAGATTGAAGACTACCTGTATTCTAATTCCAGGAAGACATCAAAACATCCCCGTCTTTCACATGGAGTTTCATCTCAGCCCAGAGGCGTTTGTGCCAAATTGTTCTTGCTCTTCACTTCCCTTCAGAAAGAAACTGCTCAGAAAGGAAGGCAGGAGTATAATTTATTGGCCAGGGTATGGATCATTAAAAAAAAATGGAGACAACTCAGCTGGGCTGACTCTTGCTACAGTCCAGATAATTAGCTGAACCTGCTCCAAACGTTTCTTCTGCTTTTCACCATGACTTGCCCTTCTCCTGCTCACTTTCTCTCTCTCATTTCTTTGTCCACCTTCTTCTCCTCTTTCCCTGCAGTCCTGCCTCCCCTAAAGCAAAACAGAGAAGACCGGATCCCTCTGTGGTTGTTTTAAAACAGAACGAGTTACCCACAGGTAACACCCCAAGTCTCCCCACGAGAGGTTCCGTGACCCCCATAAAAGGAAGTTCCTGGGCTCAGAAGTTCAGCTTTGGGTACTTGGATGGAGATTCAGAAGATCTCGGAGACGGAGGTAACAGCTGTGGGAGTAGTGAGCAGGTTGGAAATCCCCTTAGAAGTTACAGTATAGTCAATTATTTTTGCTGCCAAGAAAACTATCTGGAATCACAAGGAATCAAGTTCAGCTTACCAGAGATTTTACCTGGCAATAAGAAGTCAGCCAGGACTGATCTTGAAAACAGCCCGTCAAGATTAGATCATGTTAGCGTTGATGTTTTAGTCTCCAGCCCCCCAATCATCTTGAAAAAAGGCTCAAGAAGGCAACATTGCATTTACCATAAATAAGGACTGTATTTTCAGTCCCTGGAATTCTTCTTACTGGTCTCCTGCTTCCCACAATAGACATACTTTTCCACCGGCCTATCATTAAACCGCTGCCTGCCAAGTTTCCAGGTCCAGGCCCAGCCGAAAAGCTTCAGCCTCAAGGCAGAACACCTAGGCTGGGAAATCAAAAAAACATCCTGGGCCATTTCTGAATCTCTGCCAAAGACATTTCACGGATATGTCAAATCATCACTAGGAGCTCAACTCAAGGGTATCTGTATTTGTA